AGAATATTGTTAGCCATAAAGACTAATTTTACTTTTTATACCCTCCACCAAAAAAGGTATGGAGGGTATATTAAGTTCGTCATTCCGTTTGTAACTCATCGAAATGATCATTTTAGACCCAACAAAGTATATATATTCTTGATCAGCGTAAAATTCTAAGACGATTTAGCCCTGTCCGTCCGTCTGTCCGTCTGTTGTAATCACGCTACAGTCTAAACGAATTAAGATAGGAAGCTAAAATTTTGCACAGATCTCTCTTTTGTCTGCAGGCAGGTCAAGTTCGAAGATGGGCTATATCGGTCCACGATATCGTATAGCCCCCATGTAACGGTACCCCCCGATATTCGGTATTTTGATGATTTTACCCTCATTTTTCAACGGAATTGTCTGAAAATCCACACAAGGAGTTCCTTGTGGGTACTTTATACCTCGGCAGAGAATTATCTGTATAGGTCCACAATATCGTGTAGCCCCCATATAACGGTACCCCCCGATATTCGGTATTTTGATGATTTTACCCACATTTTTCAACGGAATTGTCTGAAAATCCACACAAGGAGTTCCTTGTGTGTACTTTATACCTCGGCAGAGACTTATTTATATAGGTCCACAATATCGTATAGCCCCCATATAACGGTACCCCCCGATATTCGGTATTTTGAAGATTTTACCCACATTTTTCAACGGAATTGTCTGAAAATCCACACAAGGAGTTCCTTGTGGGTACTTTATACCTCGGCAGAGAATTATCTATATAGGTCCACAATATCGTATAGCCCCCATATAACGGTACCCCCCGATATTTGGTATTTTGATGATTTTACCCACATTTTTCAACGGAATTGTCTGAAAATCCACAAAAGGAGTCCCTTGTGGACATTTTACCTCCTCAAAATGAAGTGTCTTTATAGGTCCACGATATCGTATATCCCCCATATAACTGTAACCTCCGATATTCGGTATTTTGATGATGTTAGCCACGCTTTTCAATGGAATTGTCTTAAAATCAACACAAGTGGTTCCTTGTGAGTACTTCACCCCCTGAGAGAGAATTGTCTATACAGGTCCACGATATCGTATATCCCCCATATAACGGTACCTCCCGATATTCGGTATTTTATGATTTGACCCACATTTTTCATCGGAATTGTCTGAAAATCCACACAAGGAGTTCCTTGTGGATACTTTATACCTCGGCAGAGAATTATCTATATAGATCCACGATATTGTATAGCCCTCATATAACGGTACCCCCGATATTCGGTATTTTGATGTTTTTAGCCATATTTTTCAACGGAATAGTCACAAGGGGTTCTTTGTACACAAGGGGTTCTTTGTGAGCACTTTACCCACCGACAGAGAATTCTCTATATAGGTTAACGATAACGTATAGCTCCCATATAACGGTACCCCGCGATATTCGGTATTTTGATGATTTTAGCCACATTTTCCAATCGTATTGTCTGAAAATCTACACACGGAGTTCCTTGTGAGTACTTTACACGCAGACATAGATTTGTCTTTATAGGTCCACAATATCGTATATCCCCCCATATATCGGCACCTTCCTATATTAGATATTTTAAAGATTTTAAAAGAATTTTTATTGGATTTTATTTTTTTGAAAATTTTCTAATTCGTTCCAAATGGTGGAGGGTATTCAACTGCTTTTTTACTTGTTTTTTAACCGTCAGGCCCAAATATTTTTAATAGCCTACAATTTTTAATAATATTTTTCAAAGACAAAAATGGATATTTAATTTTTTTCATTTAATATAAATGGCTATATCCTTAAATATTTAAATGATTTTTATTTCAAGGACCACCAAGAGTTTAATATTGTCCCAATAATTATCTTTAATTTTTATACCCTACTCCACATAGTGGTAAGGGTATTATGTCTTTATGCATTTGTTTGTAACATGGAGAAGGAAGCGTGACAGACCCATAGTTACTTTTGAGGATCTTCATAGAATCACTTTATAAGTGGATTTATCCATGTCCGTCCATCCGTCCATGTATTCTTGTGAACAAAATGCAGGTCGCATTTATTATCCGATTGAGATGAAATTTGGCAAACAATATTTGTTCGGATCAGATGTAGATATAGCTCCCATATATATTCAAACGATTTCGTATTTATTGTGCGCCAAATGTAAGTCCAAATTACCAGTACAGGGTTGTCACATAGTGACATATCGCTTAATGATATACCGCGTTTGAAGCGTCAATCCAAGCAGATTTTTACCATGAACACGCCACGCGAAATAGTTGAAATTTACATTCAACAGAAGGAGTCAATTGTGAAAACTCAAAGTGCTTTTAAAACATTAAAAATGTGAGAAGTGCGCCTTCTAAGAACACCATTAAGCGTTTATACGAAACATTTTCGTTTATACGAAACATTTTCGACCATTTAAAAGTCGACCAAGGCGATCGGCCGAGAATATCGCTGCCGTACGAGCCAGTGTTGAGAGGTCCCCAAGAACATCCCAAAAACGCCGTTCTCAGCAGTTGGGCATGACTCGGTCCACTTTACAACGGATTATTCGCATTTATTTGCATTTGTTCCCGTACAAAATTCAATTGACGCAAAGAATGTTGCCAGCGGACAAGCCTCGTCGATTGGAATGGGCCCAAAGAGTCATGGGTCCGTCGAATATGGGCAACCCTGTATTGTGGTACATCCCACCGAATTCAGTCTAGATATAATCAAATCAAATTTGGAGAAAATCGGTTTAGATATAGCTATACGTCCCTCACATGCGTACTTTGCACTCCAAAATAGTGATATTTGATCAGATACTGCTCGAAAATACCTCTATCAAATTTTATCGACATCGGTTCATATTGGGATATGGCTCCCACATATGTCTTTATCCGAAATCACCACCTACCATATATATCCTCAACCGATTTCAGGTTAATTGTGCTCCAGATAGACAATATGACCTAAAATTTTTGGCATATCCGACCGAATTCGGTTTGGAAGCAAAAACATTAAATTTGGTGAAAATCGGTTGGTCCGATTTGGTGTTTAAGTACATTCGACAACAATGATATTTGGTACTAGATATCTTATAAAGCTCGGAAATACCTTTGCTAAATTTTATCGAGAACGGCTAAGGTTTGGATATAGCTCCCATATATATCCTTAGTCCGATTTCAGGTATATTGTGCAAATAATGACTAATATCAGCCCAAATGTAGTGAATTTCAGGACGCACGTTTCCATTTTGTGCAACTCAGCTCCGATATATATTTTTATACCCTCCACGTTGGAAAGGAGGGTATATTAACTTTGTCATTCCGATTGTAACATCCTTAAATATTCGTCGTAGACCCCATAAAGTATATATATTCATAATCAGCATAAAATTCTAAGTCGATTTAACGATGTCCGTCTGTCTGTCTGTCTGTCCGTCTGTCCGTCTGTCCGTCTGTCTGTTGAAATCACGATACAGCCCACATTATTTGACGTAGAGCGCTAAAATTTAGCAGAGCAATTTGTATTGTATCTAGGATGGTTGGTATTGAAAATGAGATATATCGGTCCACGTTCTGGTATAGTCCCCATATAACGGTACCTCCCGATATTCGGTATATTGATGACTTATGCCACATTTTTTCACGGATTTGTCTGAAAATTGGTATTTGTAGGTCATAACGGGTCCCTGTACGTATGGCAAAACATTGCATGTATAGGTCCACGTTTTTGTATGGCCCCCATATAAAGGTTCCTCCCGACATTCGGTATTTTGATTATTTTTGCCACATTTTTTCACGGATTTGTCTAAAAATTGGTATTTGTTCGTAATAATGGGTTCCAGCTCCGGTAGCGAAACATTTCATGTATTGGTCCACGATTTGGTATAGCCCCCATATAACGGTACCTCCCGATATTCGGCATTTTAATGGTTTTTGCCACATGTTTGCACTGATTTGTCTAAAAATTGGTATTTGTGGGTCATAATGAATCCAAGTTCGTGTGGCGAAACATTGTATGTATAGGTCCACGTTTTGGTATAGTCCCCATACAACGGTACCACCCAATATTTGGTATTTGGATGACTTTTGACACATTTTTCACGAATTTCTCTGAAAATTGGTAGTTGTAGATCATAATGGGTCCCAGTTCGTGTGGCGAGTCATTGTAATTATATGTCCACGTTTTGGTATAGCCCCCATATAACGATACCTCCCGATATTCCGTATTTTGATAATTTTTGCCACATATTTTCGCGGATTGGTCTAAAAATTGGTATTTGTGGGTCATAATGGGTTCTAGCTTCGTTGGCGAAACATTGCATGTGTAGGTCCACGATTTGGTATAGCCCCCATATAACGATACCTCCCAAAATTCGGCATTTTAATGGTTGTTGTCACATTTCTTCTGACGTTTCCTTTACCCTAAGGTGGAGGGTATTAAAAGTTTGGTCCGGCCGAACTTAATGTTTTTTTACTTGTTTAACATAATCCTTCTCCAAGTGATATCATGCACTCTACAGCAAACTATAACTGCTCTGAAGCCAAATATTGATAGGTGGTATGATCTACTTCAAATAAATTCTCTTGTTACGGGAGCTCTACTAAATATGCATAGTGGTGTAGGGTATCATATAGTCGGCCCCGACCGACTTTTGACTTTTCCTTGATGTTTTTTTTTTTACTTTTTTGATTTTGAACAACATTTGTTTTCAAGAAACTCCACTGGGTATATCATATTCTAGGACCTTCAGGTCCGTCAATTACATTAGATTTTTTTCCTTCTGAAAGAGAATTACCTGCTCCAATTTGAGAATGTCCTATATCAAATAGTTCAATATTTAAAGCCTTTTTTCAAGATTTCTGTTTTGTTTAATAAAAAAATGCATTGATAAAACAACATATTTAACAATATTGCGTTCGCTCTTTCTGCTTATTATTCTGAGAATTACAATTTTTCTTGTTATTATTACACTTTTTCTTTTTTTTTTTGTTTTGTTCATTCTTTATCACAGCTTGCCGTTATGAAAAGGGTGCCTGGTCAGAATGTATTAATGGTCAAATGACGCGCGAGGATAAATTGAAATCAACAGGCGGCAATGAGTCGTCGTCCAGCTGTGAGGCTGTGCGTAGCATCAACAAAAAATGTAATCCCAATAATAATGGTGGCGCCGGCGGCAGTGGCGGCAAACAAGCTAATGGCAGTGGTAAAAAGGAACGCAAAAATAAGGACAAAGGTATGTGGGTAGCCCTGTGGGCATCAGAGGATTTGTGGGCGAAGCGCCACAAATACCCCATATAATAACAATTAGCTCAGGACTTAAATAATTTTTCCTTTTCTCCATTTCTGCATTCATTATAGGTTCCCGGCGCAACCAGGCGGCTCAGCAGCAACAGGCACATCAGCAACAATCATAAATTTCAAAGATTTAACAAAATTTGAGCGGATGAAAATTAAGCCCAGTTATGGTATTTCTTTGCACAAATTTAACGGAGAATTTTCCACAGTACCAATAAGGACAAAAATTAATATCTGCCTGGGTCTTGTAATAAGTTAAGATGTAATGGAACAAATCTTAATTTGTTTTTTTTTTTCATATTTGAAATTAGTTAAAATTACAACCATTTACCGTTTTCATTGGCTTCAAAGAAAAACTTTACCACAATTTCAATTAGTATTAGAAAAGTTACACGAGAACACTGTTAAACAAGGCAAACACTTATTTTCCACTCCTATTCATTTTCTAAGGAGAAATTATAAAAAAAATACCTAATAAAATTTATTAAATTTATTCCAACGTCCACAAAAGTTTGGTGTAATGGTGTTCCACTGTAGATCGTAAAATACATAGGTTATAATCATAAACAAATTATATAAATTTTTTTAAAACACTTGATTTGAAATTTATTTTTTTTTTGTAAGTAGTTATAAGCCAATCGGAAACTGGACAAATCAAGTCCAAGTTTTATTTTACTTATATGAAAACAACAAAAATATATACCTACCTATTTTTATAAAAATTCTCTATAAATAAAGTGGTTTAGTAACTGAGAACATTTTTGGCGTTTTTTTGCTTTTAATCACCTGGTAGGTTATTTCAGATGTTTTTTTCCTTTTTATGTCCAGCCTATACTCCAAGGACCAACAATGACTAACGACCATCAAGACTTAAAAACTGATCTTGACAAAAATAATATTTTCTCAAGGAATATCTAGAGCCATAATCGTATGAGTTTTAAAAATATTCCAAAAAAAACAAGTAAGCAAAGGCTACAGTCGAGCGGGGCCGACCGTTGAATACCCTACAACACTATAATAAACGATACAGTTTATATAGGCGAGATACTCTAAAGAATTCCACAAGATATTGTGGCAAGTAGTAAAAGAAAACCAGGTTTCGTCAGGTTTCGTTCTCTAATTTTCGGTAATAGCAACTTAAACTAATTTGCTCATTTCCAATTTATTGGTAGATGTTGCACGTAAATGGTCTTCCAAGATCTGGAACCAATATTTCCCAAAGACCTATAATCTCTCAGAAGTGGCAAAAGATTAACATTTATTATTGGTTTTTGACTGAAACGCATCTATATGAGATACAGACATTTGACTATATTCTTCAACGAAATCAGCGTTAACGAAATAGTCAGAAGTGCGTCTTCTCTGTATTTGTGAATTCTCCAAAAAGTCACTGGAATGGACATTTTCGTATTTTGTCTACAAAAGTTGGCAAACTATTTCACACATTGAATATTTTTGGATGGTCATCCTAAACTGCTTGGCTTTTGCAATGCGTGAGGATCGGGCGATAATTACGACCTGCTGACAATTTTTCAGTTTTTTTGTCCATTTCAACCCCTAAATATATGGCGATCATCTCCAAAAAGAGTAGGCTTCTATTCTGACCCTCATTTTATCCCCATGCAAAATTTCGTAAGGATCGGTCCATAAATGCGATCTGTATATGATATCCTGATATCTCTACTACTTAGTTTTGTTAGCTGTAGAAATATTACCAAATGTTTAATTCAAAATGAAAATATGCCAAAAATATGACAAAATTGAAAAAATATGAGAAAATTTTACAAAATCAATATTTTCATCTTTCAAGAGATATTTTTATGCGATTTTTTAGACGTTTCTACTTTCCTGCCAAGAGGCCATTCTGAATTAATGAGAACTGTCGAAATCAGTTCAGACGTTCTCGACATATAAGAGATCTTTCAAGCATATCTTCTTTGATAGACATATATATCGCAAATATTTTGCTATATATCCGATTTAATGGATGTTAACATCAATGTAAAGATCCGAAGTAACCTTGTCATGGCTTTGTGATTTCGCCGGGATTTAAAATATTCGCGGTTTAATGAAAAATTTTGAGTTTTTTCAACACAAAAGATATGGTCTATTTTACCCGCTAAATATTATCCGATGACCACCCAAATTGGTAGGCTTCTTCCCTGCCCTAAACTCTAGCCACATGCGAAATTTCGTCGATTGGTCTATAATTGCGAAATCAGCGTTAACGAAATAGTCAGAAGTGCGTCTTCTCTGTATTTGTGAATTCTCCAAAAAGTCACTGGAATGGACATTTTCGTATTTTGTCTACAAAAGTTGGCAAACTATTTCACACATTGAATATTTTTGGATGGTCATCCTAAACTGCTTGGCTTTTGCAATGCGTGAGGATCGGGCGATAATTACGACCTGCTGACAATTTTTCAGTTTTTTTGTCCATTTCAACCCCTAAATATATGGCGATCATCTCCAAAAAGAGTAGGCTTCTATTCTGACCCTCATTTTATCCCCATGCAAAATTTCGTAAGGATCGGTCCATAAATGCGATCTGTATATGATATCCTGATATCTCAACTACTTAGTTTTGTTAGCTGTAGAAATATTACCAAATGTTTAATTCAAAATGAAAATATGCCAAAAATATGACAAAATTGAAAAAATATGAGAAAATTTTACAAAATCAATATTTTCATCTTTCAAGAGATATTTTTATGCGATTTTTTAGACGTTTCTACTTTCCTGCCAAGAGGCCATTCTGAATTAATGAGAACTGTCGAAATCAGTTCAGACGTTCTCGACATATAAGAGATCTTTCAAGCATATCTTCTTTGATAGACATATATTTATTTATTTATTTTTTTTTATTTATTCAAACTCATTTGTGTAATACAGGGCCTCTAAGACCATAAAATCATATTACATAGCTAGCAAAACCTGAGTATTTAATACTTATAATTAAATACAAAAAAAAAAATTAAAACTATAAAATAATTTCTCTTCATTGGCTCCCCAGCCATAATAATATAATAAGACAAGAAAAATATAGCGTCCAAGCAAACAATAACTCAAATAATTGTAATACAATGCAATCAATATGAAGATCATTTCACCAAAAGTCAGAAAATCAGAAGCATGGCTATTTAGAAAAGAAAACTACAGCTCAAAAGAAGCAAAATGAATAAAAAGTTTCTTCCTAAAAACATTATTAGAGTGGGAAAATATCCTCAGTTCATAGGGTAATAGATTCCAATTCCGTGCAATTCTAACTAAGAACGATCTCGCACAAACATCTCTATAAATCCTTGGTATAACTATTTGAGGATTTCTTGTTGAATGAGAAAACACAAAAAGACTGTATAGAGATGTTGGTGTGCGACATTTGATAATATTATAAAAGGCAACAAGAATCCTATAAGACACAAAATCGGTAAAAGAACACCCCAGAAAAAGTTTAACATATCTAGATATATGGTTCCTTCGGGGAACGTTGTAAACAAAACGCACAACTGAATTTAAAATTCTCTGTAAACGTGTAAAACTGATCCCGATACAACCCGAGATTACTTCCAAACCATATAGAATGTTAGACATCAGCACAGCATGAGCTAAATATTTTCTAATACGAAGAGGCATATATAATTTGGCGGAATAGATCTTTCTCAACAAAAAGCAAACTCTCCCAGATAAAGCATCAATATGTTGTCTAAAAGAAAGCTCATTATCCACTATAACACCTAAAATTTTGTGGTGAGTAACAAATTCAATATTATTGTAATTTAAATGGACATTTATATCGGAAGCCATATTATTCCCCCTACCAAACATCAAAGCCTTAGTTTTTGACGGATTAATTGTAAGATAATTCGCCGATGCCCAATTAGAGAATTGCTGCAGACATTCATTTACATTGCTTTCGAACAAAGATAAGTTATCACTATCTCCAGTTAAAATGAAGAAAATGTCATCAGCAAACTGCAACGTTTCACAAGATTTGAACTGCATGGTATCACGCAAGTCATTAACATAAAGAAGGAATAATAGTGGTCCCAGTATAGAACCTTGCGGTACACCACTATTTAAACTCACTGGGTCAGATTGGTTACCATTGATAGCAACAAACTGTGATCTATCTCTGATAAATGAATAAATCAGTTTACAGGCAGTTCCAGAAAAATTAAAATTATCTCTTAATTTAGTGATTAAATGAGCAAAGTTAATGGAATTGAACGCTTTTGACAGATCAAGAGATAAAAGGACACTTAATTTTCGATCATTAATATTATGGCGGATGAAATCAGTGGCTTTTAAAAGTAAGTGTGTGGTGTTGTGCCTTTGCCGGAATGCAAACTGTGTGTCAGATATCATATTTGAAGTGTATTCCAAAATTTGATTCTTTAAGATCACTTCCATAATTTTTGAAATTGCTGGTAGGATTGATATTGGACGTAGGTCATCTGGACTATATACGTTTTTAGCTTTTGGTATAGGAACTACTCGGGCATTTTTCCAAGCTAATGGGTAAGAGGAACAAGTCAAGATGAAATTGACCAAATCCAAAATATAGTCACATATGTAAGGAATGACAAGTTTTATAAAGCGGATTGGTATTCCATCAATACCAACCGCATTCGACTTAATTTTATTAACCGCCTCAAAAATCTCAACCACAGAAACACATCTAAAGGAAAACGAAGTAGTGTCATTAAATTGAGTTATATCAAAATTATCATCCGACGTAGAATTGGCCTGTGCGAAAAAAGTATTTATATCATTGACATCAATATCAAATTCTGCGCTATCATGTTGCACACATCCCGAATTCCTGAGCACTTTCCAAATTTCAGACGAAGTCATATTACCAAAAAGCTTTGAAAAATATCTCCTTTTATTCCTACGAATAACTGTCCTTGCTTTGTTACGATACCTACAATACTTTACCCAATTTTCCTGAGACTTATTTCTCTGGAAAGCAGCATATGCTAGATCCCTTACAGATCTTGCAAAAGTTACGTCCCTTGCCATAAACCAACGATCTGGAGAAAACTGTACCTTCTTTCTAACAATTGGTACACAAGAAAAAAGATCAGCAAGCAAACCACCTAAATAAGAACATTTTTCATTTGCATCGATTGAATTAGACATTGCATTATTATCAAAGGACTCAAGAAAGCTAAATAACCTAATCCAATTAATATTGTTATAATCACGAAACTCTATAAAATCGGGCAGATAATTGACATCGAAATCTATAGATGCAAAAATAAGAGCATGGTCAGACACAGACGGACATTGAACCTGATCAAAATATCTCACACATGAACTATCACTCGTAAGCATATAATCAATAAGTGAGGTTGATCTTCTACCTAAGTTAAAATGTGTGGGCATGGAATTATGTACGATAGATATATTATACTGGGCACAGATAGAACGAAAAGCATTGGCTCTGGATGTGTCAAAGAGATTGATGTTAAAATCCCCTAAAATGAAAACTTTGGAGTATTTAGAAAATAGGTATCTATGGTGGCATTCAAATTCAACTAAATTTCCATTGGGCAAATAGACAACACCAAACAATATTTGAATATTGTTAAAATGCACTACGACAAATAACGACTCACATCCTAACTCTGAAACTTTCAACACAACTTTATAAGAAATTCCGCTACGTATAAATATCCCTACACCCCCACCTCTCCCAGGACGATGTCGGTCATTCCGACAGAACTTATATCCAGGCAAGGAAACAGCTTTAC